CAAGTAAGTTACAACTCCAATGGTAATCGCTTTGTACATACATGTGTATGTACTTATGTATGTATGCACGTATGTATGTAGATGTGCATGTATGTATATGTGTATACACATGTACATAGGCGTAGACATACGTGGCCGCGCCACCTCGGGCAGCTCTCAAACTTCTGTTCTCAATGGCCGGGGCGCGATGAACTGGTTCTGAATGCGGACGACAGAGCACGGGCTAAAACCAATCTTGAATCACATAGCGCGCTTATTTCTGTGCGCCAGCTCAGGAGAATATTTGCGTCGATTCACTTGCGGGTGATTACGAGCCATGTGAGCTCGGCAAGCTGCTCAAATCAATGTGCGGCACCTGGGATGGTGCGAGCACTGGGGGGGGGGGGCTGTCATGCGGAGTTCTGCAAGAGAGCCGGGTTCACCTCGGGGCGTGCGTCGCCCTGCATGTTCAAACGCGCGCACGGGAGCCTGTGTTTAGTTGTCCGCGGTGATAATTCCAATATGTTCGGAGGTGTCATTGATTGTTGTTCGAAAAGCACATGCAAGCTACATGTGCGGTAAAGTTGAGGGGGGGGCTGGGGCCTGGGATGGAGTGAGAAGTCAACGAGGATCCATAACCGAATCGTGGAGTGGACACAGGAAGGAGTGAGGTATGAGGCAGAGGAGGCATGCAGCGATAATTGCGAGGGGTCTTGAGTTCGATCAGGGCAAGGCGAGGTGCGAGGCACCTGGCGAGATCGCTCCAGGACGAGCCCCCAAGCCGGGCAGGCCACATAACATATTGGGCATTCGTCGCCCGAGCGAAGTACTTAACGATAGACACATCCGACGTGCGCATCTTTGTAACAGAATTAGCTTGGCGCGTGCCAGCGCCCACCGTAAGATCTTGGCCATCTCTCGTTGAGCTATGGAGATCAGTGAAGAGTCACGACCTGCCCATATGCACGTACAAGTATCAACGGTCACCCTCGCAATTCACCGTGTGGACCGACGCCGTTTACGCAGGATGTGACAGGACAAGGACATGCGCGAGTGGAAGAGTAGGCATGTGGGGTAGCAACATGACGAAGTCAATGGGCACGGCCTCGTCAGCGGTCGCGCCATCACCTGGAGAAGCAGGAAGCCGCGGCATGGTGAAAGGTGCATTAGTGGCACTCGGACTGCAGGCAGTCCTGAGAGACCTCTGAGTATCTTGTGGCATTCAACTCAAGAGCGATGCGACTGCCGCGATCGCCATTGCCAGTAGAGGAGGACTCGGCAAACAAAGGCATATTGAAGCGTGCCCTTTGTGTTCGGAAGCCAAAGTTCCGAGCGGATGCGTCAAAGTAGCCGCAGTCTGCGCGGGCGGTGACTAGATCTATGAATTACGAAATCAGTGAGCAGTGAAGGCGCGAAGACTCACGTGAGGGGGGCGGGGCGCTATCGCGAGGCAGGTGGGCGTGGGGTGGCTCCCGCGACTGAATGTTCAGCGCGCCGCGGCCATGTCAGAGCGAGACATCGCGACAGACTTCGCGCTCCCTCCGTTCTCGCCTGCCACTCGGGCACCTCGCAATGGCCGGCGCGGGGATAATGGCGGATGCGCCTGGGCGAATTACCCAGCTAATCAACGACGGCGAGAAGGGCGACATAACAAATCCAGGGCCTATCGCCACGGGGAACGCCAGAAGCATCGACGGCAACGTGGGCTACTTTGCGCGATGCAATAGCCTGGCGCGCGACGTCGTCGCTCCCGAACCGTGCTGATCAAGCCAGACACCATTCGGGCGCCCGCGTGCCCCGGCTGATGCGCAACGTGGCCGACGCCGCGGGGCATGCTCTTGGTGATCGCCAGGGGGGGCTCGACGCGCCCCGGAATGCCCCGCGCTAGATGATGGTCCGTTGCCAGGAGTTACTCGATCGCAATCGCGAGCTTTCATAGCGAGGGGGCTAGGGGGATGGGTGACGAGATGCTTGGGGGCGAAGCGACTCGTGGCCCTGAGGGCGGCTAAAAAGCGCGAGGTCGGGGCATTTTCGAGGTTGGCGAGGCGGGCGCAATGTTGGGTGATGAACAGGTCGCGCGCTCGCAGCTCATCCAGGGCCATCGGCCGCTCGGCTGGCGACCGAGGCGACGACCTGGAGGAAGCCGGAGCTGGGGCTCTATGCGGCGCGACGCACTTCGCAGCGGTGCCGCCCAATCCACCGGGCTGTCGAGTGCGTCGAGCTTTGCTGACCTTTTCTGACCACCCGCGCCGAAGAGAGCCAAGGGTCCCATTGAGAAAATGAGCCGCAGCCAATCTCGTGCAATGGAGGAGAAGGAGCCCAGCCCACCGACGGAAATGCCAACTCGAACGCCAGAGCGCAAAGATGATGCAACGAAAAGTGCAGGCAAATGTGAAGGAATGACCAAGGCGAGCGCGTCCCTGGACGAATCCGATGCCTCCTTCGCCGCGTTGATCACCGAACGCAAGGGTCCGAGAGACCCGTGTGCGCGCGCGTTAGAGTGCCAATCCAAACTTCTGAAATCGGGCTTAGGGGCATTTCGTTGAGGCGGCTCGTTCGTGCCTGCTGCCTGGCCGCCCGCGCCGCGATCCTTGCTGCCGAAGGCCCTTGCGCATTTTTTTTAACTTGGCGGGGGCAATCCGGAGGTGCCAGGGCCTGGGTTGACCATGGGGCGCGAGAGCTTGAAGACCCATCGGGCAGCATCGCCACCCAGAATAATTGCTCCAGTTGCCAGGGCTCATCCGAGAACTTCTACGGCCATGTTTACTTCATATGGCCCCAGGATCACCTTGGAGGTCCACCGGGGTGGCGTGACGCTCTCGCAAAGCACCGCAGGTATGGGGGGGCATGGCAGCTGGGCGCAGCTGGTAATTCATGTTCGGGCATGCTCTCCCGATGACCGAGCGGGTTGCTCTGGCCCGCGGGTGCCCAACCGCATCCCGTGCCGTGTGTGTGCGATTGTGGAATGGGCTACCTGACTCTGGACTACATCAATTTACTGTCCGAGCTCCAGGAGCGAGAGCTCATTGACATGGTCGCCAATCGGCTCAGCGTTCTCTTGGCGGGCATCGCCGCCAGTTTGGCCATCGAATATCCTGCAGTGGCTTGGCAAACAATGGCGACCTCGAGGATATTCAAACGGGTGTGGCTGCGATCAGGTGTCTGACGCGTGAGTTGGCGAAGGGATCGATTGGCCTCGGTGACGAACTGCAAGTGTTCTACATTAACTTTGACGCCACCACCAAGAATACTCACGCTCACGACGCTGAGTTGGTGGTCGCGCCCGATGTGATCCTGTGCCGAGCGAAGCTGATCGTAACCACGCTTAGAGCAGATGCCTTCAGGCCCTGGGATCGTCTGCATCCTCTTGGCAGTGGTATCCGCATGGAGGAATCCATTCTATGGTTGCCCAAATACCTCCGGTGGGAAACTGACCAGTTGAGGGCAGTCAGCCCCTACTTGGGATGGGTGTATGACGCGAAGACGATCGATCAATCACGATCAGAGGCGGACGGCGCCGATCCCCAGACTTCCCGACTTCACGTCGCGGGAGGCAGCCGGCAGGTTTAACGGAATCGACGAACAGTCCGCCAACAAGAAGCCTGGAACGGACCGCGATGAAGCCATTGGGGCGTGGCGTGACAGCGACAAAGAATAGAGCGCTTGGATTGGCGATCGATTCGTGAAGGACAAGGCGAATGTGCGCATGATGACTAGGAAGCGTAAGCGCGAGGACGAGTGCGCGCGGGTTGACGCGGCCAAGGGCCAGTGGGGTCGCCATCCGTCAGGGCAGGGGGAGCGTGAGTGACAGCGAACCATCTGGCAGTTCCCGACCTCTTCCTTTTGTAGGGTCTTACGCGAGTTCAGCCGTGAATGTTTCGAAGGATTGTTTATGGCAGCGCTGGTGTGGCAACTTTGAGAGAGTGGATATCCCGCCGCGCTCCCAGCCACATTCTGTACCGTTTTGTCGTTCAAGTCGTGCGTTTCGCGGAATTGGTCGCTTGCTCATCGTATGCTGTACATAGCCTGATTTTGGGACGGATCATTCGCCGTTGCCATGTGCTGTGTAGCAGAATAATTGATCGTTGCACGTCGTTTGCCCTACCTAGGGTACCAGGTAGGGGGGAGTGTTTCGATATCGGGTCCCAGGCTACTGAATACGCCCGTCGTTTTGGCTTAGGTATTGTAACCGCCATCCGGTGGTGTGACACTGCTGTGTACTCTTAGCAGTCGTTCGCTCATTGTGTAACAGAGTTCGGTCTTCATTACCATTTTCCTGTTTGGTTAGCAGGAGAAACGTGGGAGGAGGAGGAGGACGAGGAGGAGGAGGAGGAGGAGGAGAACGACTGAGCGGAGGAGAGGGGGAAGGAGGAGGGGGAGGAGGAGGATGGGGAGGAGGAGGAGGAGGAGGAGGAGGAGGAGGAGGAGGAGGAGGAGGAGGAGGAGGAGGAGGGGGTGGAGGAGGAGCAGGACTAATAGGAGGACGACCAGAGTAACCCAAGGATGCATCAATCATGATGCAATACGCCCTCCCGTCCCAAACTGTCTCTTCTTTGCAAGGTGATGCAACACTTTTTCACAACAAAGATCGCCACCGCGAAAGACCAGCAACCGATGGGTTTATCCTTCAAGCGAGATCCACGTCTTGAGAAGTATCTGCCTTGCATCCTTCCAACGAGCAGGGAGGAATGTGAGAAGGTACACGTCTGGTTATGAGCTGCGGAGAAACATTCTCAAGCGAGAGCCCTATTTTGAAAATAGCCGCCCTCCATTCGTGTAGTCGTTACACATGTTCAATTGTCTCGTCGTGAGACTATGTACGGTTTGTGCCTGTAAGAGTTCTATGTGTATATATATACACATATAGATATATAGCTACGGGGGTACTGGCCCCGGAACCCGGATGGCCTGCCTTTTCGTCTGCCTCCTGGTCTGCCTTCTGGTCTGCGGTATGGTTTCACGTGTGGTCTTCCGTATGCTCTCCCGTATGGTCCCCTGTATGGTTATCCGTATGGTTTCCGGTATGATTTGCCGTGTGGCTTTCCGTGTGCTCTCCCGCATGGTCTCCCGTGGGTTCTGCCTCCCCCCATAGCCGCTTTGGCTCAAGGTCTCAAGCCTGCGTATTGGATCCTCCTGCACGAGCTATGGCTCCTGTCACACAGCCACTCCTTCATGCCGTTGCGGCCCTCGGACTGCTGACGGCGTGGGCCCCGCTGGCCCACGGCATCGCCTTCAAGTCGGAGGCATCGCGGAAGGCCGACCGCAAGATCACGAACGCCGAGGGCCGCGCCGCGGCCTTGGTGGCAAGGGTCGCGCAGTACGAGCGCGCCATTGAGGCCCGCGCGAACGCGTCCAAGGGGCCCCTGCTTGTGCCACCGGATTTCTCGAGGCCGAGGATCATTGAGAATAAAAGAGCCTCTAACCCTGGAGGGTTTTTCCGAAGGGCTTAGGCGACCCGTCCTCCTCCTCCTCCTCCTCCTCCTCCTCCTCCTCCTCCCCCTCCTCGCCCTACCCTCCTCGGGTCGCCTACGGCCCCGGGGGAAACCGTCCACCTAACCCTAATTGCACAGTGAAGACGTGGCCTCACTTAGGTCCCCGTCTTTCGCATCATGGATCGTACAACCTGGCGGTTTGGTTCGGTGCATCCGCAGAACAAGCTTCCTATCCCTAATGTTGTTGGCCCTCCCAAATGGTTAGGGGTCCTTCTCTTGCCAATCGGAGGACTGGCCGCGCGAGCCTCCTGGGCGTCGACTCGAGCCAGGGCCTCGCGGGGGGCGGGGAGTTCCAGCCCTCGGAGGAGTTCCAGAGGGCCGGCCAGGAGAGCGGCGACGCCGCCGTGCTGCCGTGGGGCGTGGGGACACCCCGCGGGGGTGACAGCTGGGTGGAGCACCAGTACTCGGCCATGCACATGCTCGACGTCCCCCACTGGGTCGAGTACAGCCTGGAGATTCGCCGGCGGCGAGCAAGGGGGGGAGGCGAGGAGGGGCGGGCCTTCTCAGAAGGCTCGGAAGACCCCCGGGCCTTCGGAGAAGCTTTCTGAGCCTCCCCTGAAGCCACAGGAAACGTTTCGGAAGGCACGAGGGCTTCTGAGAAGTCCCGCCGCCTCCTGAGAAGGCCTTCTCGGCCTTCTCCTCCTCATTTCCCCCCTCTCTCGTCGCCAATTTCGGGGAGGAGAAAGTACCGATACCGCCACCGTCGCTCCGTTTTCGCGTGTTTGGGCCTCCTGGGAGACCCTCGGCCCCACCGGTGGATTTGTCTCGAGATCCTGGCCAGAACGCACCCGGGAAGAGGTCCAGGGGGTAGCAGTATCGGTACCGCTTGGTATCCCCAGGAGACCGGGGACAACATCCAGACCTTCTGCAACGCTTGGCAGGACGTCAAGCTCATCACGCAGGTGCTCGAGAACGTCACCAACGGCTTTTACCTGGACACCCACGGCGGGGATGGCGAGACGCACAGTTACACGCTCCTGCTCGAGCTCACTGGATGGCGCGGCCTCATCCTGGAGCCTCAGGTGTACGAGTTCGCGACGTTGTGGGGCAAGATGCGGAAGGCGTGGATATTCCTCGGGTGCCTATCTCCGACAGGGAACGCCACGAAGCTCGGCTTCGACACCCAAGGCGTACTCGACATGTTGAGCGGTCACCAGATCCACGCCTACAACTTGCCCACCTTCATGGAAGAGCTGGGCGGTCGCAAGACTATCGACTTTTGGGCCGTCCACAACGGTCATTATGAGGCAGAGGTCCTGAATGAGACCTTCTTTTACTCTGGAAAGAACATCGAGTTTGGGGTCGTCTTGGTCCGCTTCGATGGTCGTCGGTCTGGTCGTGGTTACCAGTGGTTCGCTCAGCACAGGTCCAAGGACGAAACTGAAGAGCTCATCTTTGAGATCATGCACAACGCCTCCTTTAACTACATCGGTGGCCTGGACGCGTATTGGATCAACTACGTCGAGCCACGCTTCCATTACAATGACCACGTGTGGGTGAACCCCGCGTACTTCGAGAAGCGTGGCCTCCCGGTCCCCACGTGGTGCAAGTCGGCGCCCCCGCCCGCGCTGAGGTACCCCCGCCAAGGCCACCTCGACGTCCCTGGACTGGACAACCTTGAGAAGTGGACAGGCTCGGGAGGTTCCCCAGGGCCGCACGTGTATGGACATGCAACCGACAAGAAGGCGGACGCCATCCCTTTTGGATACGGAACCCCTGGAATACCCTATGGGCCGTCCTCGCGCAACCCCTGGGGCATCGACCATCAGGAGTACGACAACCCCGCGTACATGTCCCTGGGGGGGAGCAACCCGACGATCCCGGGGCCAGAGGGAGGAGGGGGGACCTGGGACCCCCGCTGGAATTGGGACGCGGGCTACACCTACGAGGAGGAGACCAGCAAGGTGATCGCCTACATAGCGAAGGCGAAGGAGGACGCCGCGGCCACGGAGCCGGTGGCCAAGGCCCACCGCGTGGCGTACAACCGTCTGATGTCGGTGGAGGGCCGCTGAAAGCGCCCGCCCGCCTG